CGTTTGTTCCTTTGTCAAACAGCGGCCCAATGCTCCCCAGAATTACAGCATAAATTTGCTGGAATACAATTCTTCGCCAGGATGAAGCAAGAGGCAATGCTTTTATTTAGTGGCGAGTCACGTCACAGTGTTGTTAAAGGGGCATATGTGGCTTTTTATAGGGAGAATGCTTGCGAGGCGTAAATCCACTGCCGCCGAACCATTTGCTGGAACGGGAAAATCCCAACCCACCCAGTTGGTTCCACGCGGAGGTTGTTCGGCAAGCCAGCCGCAGTCGGGATGCAGCAACCGTCGCCAACTTCGAAGTGAGGGTTTTCATTTCTTTAGACCAAGTCATCGCTTGGCTTCCCATCTTTCTCTTCCAACCGCACGCCTGGCGCACGAACAATGCACCTCGCGGGGGTCGGTGTGCTGGCATACGCAACACGTGGCCCAGCCATCGGAGCCTGGTGCGTGATATAATGGTGCTGAGCGGTTCACTCGCTCTTCCTGAACTAAATACGCCTGTGCTCCTTTGCCTGGGTAAACGATTACTCCGAACGCATATCGATCAATCCTGCTATATCATTTTTTTCCTACTCTGCTTGCATCCGATTCCTTATCGGCTCTGCATGCGCAAACATCAACGAAAACCGCAACAAACGTTAAGCGATCATTTCCTACCCAACAGCTTGTCAGCCTGTGTGTTGCCAGCCCTCTATCTCTCACATGGTTGTTTCGTGTCACGTAAACAGAAACGAGTACGCTCTACGACCTTTCACCCTACTTTCTTCCTGAGCGTCTCGGTGTTCCCTGATTGCATTGTTGCAGATTGCACACAGAACATGTAGTTTCTGTATTCTGTAATATTATGAATCTTGCTCTTCACACATCTTTCTTTTGTGTTGCGACACAGTTAGTTGAATTGGGTTTCTCACCTTCAACTAATGTGCAATGATGATGATACTTTAAAGTTGCTTTCCGGATCTATACTATCTCACACGACTCTTGATCGCTGAACGGTTTCTGAGCATTTCTGTCCTTATTTTTTTACAACAAGCGGAGTAAACTTAACATTTCATCATCATCATCTCTCTCTCTCTCTCTCCTCAGCTTCATGTCTTTATCCTTTTTTTCAGTTCTTTTTGGTGGTCGACTGTCGAACTCAGCTAAATGGGTGATACAGTTATCTTTGAGTCAAACGTAGTTGCCATGCGTGCGCTGCTGAATAGCTTAAGCTATTTCACTACATGCTTGGACGTGTGGTTTGCGAGCTATTGTTGCTACAAGGCTCGGTCGACACAGCTCCGCAGTCACTGACGAACCACTCGAAGTGGCCGATCAATTCACTTGCCTTATCAATTGAATCGCTTGCGAAGTCAATTCTCTACGAAACTTTATATACTAGCAAGAAGGGTGTAGATTTTCGAAGTCTAAACCTTCTATACGATAGAGTGCCAGCAAATGGTAGGATGTACACACTACTTTCGACCGCTGTTCACTGTATGCGATGGGAACAAGCGGTCACTTCATACCGAGGATACTAAGGAAGATTGACCGTCTTTGATTACCGATGCATATGGAGTGTTGCGCACATTTGCTAGGGACACCGGGTGAAAAATGCTGAGGTTCACCCTTCCTTGTCCGGAAAGAAGTCCTTTGGTGTTGTTGCACCCGAGCGTTTCTCCAAAACTTCATCTTTTAGTGGTGATTAGACGTCGTATGCTCTATATGCTCGTTGACCCCCTACCTTAATGTGTACTATGACAGGACACCGTTTTCAGTATCTTGGAATAAACTTGGAACCGAACCTTTTAGAATACAAATCGATTTCCTATATGCTTGTATATGGACAACGCTTCGCTCTTGACACAAGAGCTTCTTCAGATCAGGCGAACTAGTGCGGATTTGGCTTGGTATTTTATATCAGTTGAAATACTACTAGTGTGAGATAACCAGGGTCCGTGGAAAAATGAGTTACAGTTTCAAAGAGCCAAGAGGTCCATCTGGTAGAACAATGAGAATGAAACTGTCCCAATTGATCCATGTAATGGGTCATTCGCATGGGATGCGGTGGTAATGTTTCTCTTGCCTTCGGTGATTATAGATCGACGTTTCCGCCGCAACCTGCGTCCGTTCGCCAAATCTGCTCAGATGATACTTTTGTTATCCTTAAGCGGGATAAGAAAAAGGAGTTTATAACCTATCTGAACTCCATCAATGAGAACATAAAAATTTACGATGGAACTGGAATCTTGTGGGGGTACACTGCTCTTCCTTAATTGTGTAGTTCACAGGAACGGGGACGGCTAAAATCAACCATATATCGAAAGCCAACAGATACTGATGGAGTACTACACTATAGTTCAGGACATCCGAAACACGCGTATGCTGCGATTGCATTTTCTCTATTTCACAGCGCCCAGACTCTGTGCACAGAGGAAGAGGAATAGAGGGATGCACCGAGAAGAAATGAATAAATTAATATGTAGTGGATATCTGAGGCGGTTAGTTAGACGTTAATTGCAAAAAGCGTTAAACCCACCATCACGACCTGCGACGGAGTGGATTGGGACGGTGGGAATCCCTTATAAAGAGGGAACTTCTGGAGCGATCAGGCGTGTACTAAACAAAGAGAGGATAAGAATGGTTTTCCAAACAGGTCAAATGCTGCCTTCAACACCAATGCATTTGATGGATCCATTTCCAAAAGATAGGACAACCAATTGTGTCCATAAAATTACTCGCAGGGACTGTGCGCAAGTGTACCTAGGCCAAACAGCGAGAGAACTACGCACTAGGATAGCAGAACACAAATGGTACGTTTCGCGTTTAAGACAATATGCGCCTGAATACAAGGCGTTACTAAAAGATTCGACGCTAGTGGTAGATGCGCTAGTCTCGGGACAATCGATTGGGACAATGTAGAGACCATTAGGCGGGGAGCAAGAACGACTAGCCAGAGATTAATTGCTGTGGCGCTAGAAATCGCCAAGGCCACTAATTGCGTTAACAGATAGACGGTGTGAAACTATCGAACGCGTGGGGGATTGTCTCAACCCGGTCAGTTTGAGCAACTGGCGGACGGACCTAGGTTGCAGCGAAAACGTGGGACTGGCTTTCCGAACAACCTCGTGATGCCAGCTGGGAGGTTCCAGCAAATCGTTCAGCGGCAGTGTTCCGGGACGTGGTGGGTTTTCGCCTGGCAAGCGATCTCTCTATAAAAAGCCACATACCTTTGTTTACCAAAACTGACGTGGCGGATGTGACACGCCACTAAATAAACTCACTGCCCCTTGCTTCATACTGGCGTAGCATTGTATTCCAGCAACTTAATGCTGAAATTTTGGGGAGCATTGGGCCCCTGCTTGACAAAGGAACAAACGAAAGGCGTATGAACTGAGCAATCAGTCACCGGATCCCAATGGGCGCGATTACCTGAATTCGCTCCGCTGCCTTGCAGGCAGGCTATTCGGCCAAAGGCTCGGGGTGGTGTCTCCCAAGTCAACACCGTACTTCGGTTTGGGCAACCGGGTAGCACCCAGCCCTCTGACGAAACCATGGCCTCATCCTTGTTGTGTTTTTTTTATTTTACTAGTTTTGTACCTTCCTTTTAGTTCCATGATTTCTGATGGCTCCATGCCCATTCGTAGGATATATATATATATATATATATATATATATATATATATATATATATATATATATATATATATATATATATATATACATATATATATATATGTGTGTGTGTGTGTGAAGCATTGCGCTATAATCACCGAAGCGAAGAGTAACATCGCCACTGCCTCCCATACGAATGACCCATTACACGGATCATCAGGGATAGTTCTATGCTTATTTTTCCACCAGATTGACCTCTTTACCCTTTGAAACTGACTCATTTTTCCACTGACCCTGGTTATCTCACAACATTAGTATTCTAATTGATATTAAATACCAAGCCAAATGTGTGCTAGTTCGCCTGATTTGAAGAAGCTCTTGTGTCAAGTACCAAGCTTTGTCCATGTACAAGCCTATAGAAAACCGATTTGTATTCTAAAAACTTTTGAATTAGGACACAATTTTATTTGCGTCCAACTGATGACGTGACGAAAGACATGCTCGAGTGCGTTGGGTGACTTGACCCTCCTTAATTCCTCATCACCTTTGTCTTCTATTCTCATGGTGACACGAGCCATCGTCTAATATTGCACTGAATGGCTAGGAACATATCCGGATAACTGAAGCCAATAAACATTATTCCATTTACTAACTGACGAATTCCGTCGGGTTTCCTTTTATTATGGTAGTCACTTGTTCAGGACCATGCAGGAATTACTTTACAGCGAGCGTGTAGAATGCGTAGGGTGACTCTACTTGTTCCCAAGCTCGTTCATGCCTCAACAGAAGTAGAACTGCCCCACTTCCAACCGAAGCATGTCAGAGTTCTCTCGGAACGACAAAATGTGGAAACCTGTAACCCATTTTTGAACGAGGAGCTCTCGAGTATTACTCATAGGCTCGTTTAGAGTATGGTTAACACTTAAGCGGCTTCGTTCTACTCGGTCAACCAACTGGGTGTTTTTACCTTTTTATCCAGCTAGTGACACATTCTTGCGCGCACCTGTCGATCGCCGAGAACTTTCTTTTGCTCGCTTCTTTTATGTTACACTTCGTCCAATCAGTTCACCATCGGATTGTGCGTGGACACAACACCGTTTCATGTCTGCAGTTCACCAGAGATCGGACTTGCTCCTCTGTTTGACTAATACTTGACGGGTGCCTCTTTACCATGCTACCAAGTACGTACAAAACTGGATGCTGCAGAAGGGAGAACTCGAACCGTGGGTGCGTGCACAACGCTTTCCGTCAGTTGCCACTTACAAAGTGCACGTTTGCTGTTTGTATTTCGTACGGATTATGTGAACTTTGTCACTCCTTCCCACAGTGGTTCCACACTTGTGCTCTCCTGTTTACTGTCTCTCTCGCATTTCACTCTGCGTCTTCTTTTTTAGGCCCTAATGGAAGAAGACGGGGAAGTTGTGTCAAATGACACTGCCGGAGCTGAAGACCGGGCAGTGGAACCTTCAGGCACTTCCGAATCGCATTCCGCCCGGCAACCTTCTGTGCCTGTCCCTTCCACCACTGCTTGTCCGATCAATCCGAAAAAAAGAATCATCTCCCAATTGTCCGAAATTTGTGGTGATGGCGACTTTTCCTCCACATCACCTAGTCGGGAGCCAAAGTTTGATCTGAAAGTTGACTCGGCCGTTTCAGATTTGGAGCAACCGGATGGTAGTGCTGCTTCCACCGATTCTGTGGACTCGTCAAAGAAGCTGTCTCAGCCTCAGTTGGATGGTTCACCAGGATCAGCTGACTGTTGCTCCACACCTGTGAGTTTTCCTCATGATTTGGCCATTGTCGTCACGTGTACAAATCTCAAGGTAGATGATCCGATTGACCACTTCTGTGTGATGTCTGCCCACTCCTGCAGCGATGCCTTGCTATTTGAAGGTGCAATGCGGCTGGATCCGATTCATCTTGTGCTAGGCTTGTCAGTCAATCACTCAGCAGCACCTCTCACTGGAGGAGGTTGAGGGGACGAGGTCCTGTAGGATTCTTTCCTTACAAAGTCGAAAAGCGAATAGGGTAGTGAGCAGCCCTGACTCACCCAACTTGTCACGGAAGTTTAAGTGACTGCCATCTGTTGACCATCAAAACCATTGTGGAAGTGGTAGGAGATTTTTATATTTCACAGACAGTGTCCTCAGCTTTTTTGATATTTTTTCTAAACATTTGAATCTTAGATAAAAAATGTGCTTCAGAATAGCATTGACACCACCAATATAGTACATCACACCGTAGCTCGAACATTAGAGGCCCTCTCGATCGATACCTGCTGCTTATCGTAGACCCGCCTGCAAGACTCAAGGTCAGTGCTCACTCTGCCATCCCCTTCAGATGACGCGAGCAGTATTTTCTCATTGCGCCTATCCGGTGACGATGCAGCTTCTAGCACCGGCCGAGCCGGGTTTGGTATTGCACTGAGTCCCTGGACTGTAGCTGTTCCAGTTGACTGGATTCAAATCAGTAGCCGGATGTGTGCGGTCCGGAGCGTTGGTCCGTTGGGCTGGGCACTTTGAAAGGCAATTTAATCAGTCGGAATTGT